TGCAACGGACAATGCGAGGGGCCTACAGCAGCGATGCTGAGTCCCTTACCTCAAAGCCACTGTTACTCTCAACAACAGGACGCCCCGGATGAATCTTTGACACCTATCGAGCCAACGTCCTTCGTTTACCTCTGGAGCTGCCGCTCAAATATCCACAAACAACGATCCCCCCTGTATCGGCAGGACTTTTTAACGCTACTACATTAAAAAGCTGACGAATTAGCTATGTTCATCGGCCAGTCAGCTTCTGACATGAACACAACTAACAGCAGCCCACAGCCTTGCGCTGACCAAACGCATCACCGCGTGGCGAGCGCTCGAGCCCATCTGTCTCAAACGGCACGCCGCTTTAAAACTATGCGTAGCAAACTGATCACGTTCGTCAGGGCTGAAAAGTGCGTTTTCTGTCACCGACAAAATTGGGAGCGGTCTGAACTGTCACCTGGAGTCAGATCAAAGCCAAACGAAACCGTTACAAGATGCTTCTAAATGCTTTAACTACAAAAGACAGAGACAAATTAAATGCGATGCGGCATAACCCTCAAACATTTTCGTTTCGGGACTTAATTTGTGCTAGATTTTTATTTGGTGGCCATTTAACACCTGAATGAAGGTTGAGACTAATCTAAAATAATTATCAGATAAAGGTATACTTAACATAACCAGCCTAAGGGCGTATAGTTTCCTACTCAGTTGGGGGAGAGGGAGGTAGGATTGTGCCTCCTAACCAGATGCAGCTTCACATTTTTTAATCACTTTTATCCACTGTTTTTCATCTATCATAATTTGGTGCTCAACACCAAAAAACTTATTTTGAGAAACTGCACCCTCGCTGCCAGCTGCAAATCTGGGGAAAAACTGGTTTAAATGCATCTCGGAGACAGCCTCAGCCATTTTTCTTCCTGCACCCCCCCCCCGCCCTCCTCCCTTCCATCTTACACCCCTGCGCATTTTGAAAAACTGCATCCCTGCGTCCCTACATTTACCGACACCATGATTCTACAAGCATCTGAAGCAATATCACTTCTATTCTCGTGACCGCATCGTACAATCAGCTGACAGCGTTGAAAAATTGTCTTAGCAAAATCATTGCCGGTGCAGAACTCACATTTCCTGACATCATCCCAATTATTTAGAGCAAAACCCATGCATTAATGGTATCAACAGATGCAAACGACAGCTTTCAACACCTCTAGCACCTTCGCTTAGCTTTACATGTAATATGATGCCAACTAAGAGCGTTTTAATTCATGCCTGTCCACCGATCGGTGCGCTAAGTCTGAGTTGCAATGGGCAATGTGAGGGGCTTATACCAGCGGTGCTCAGCCTCTTACCCCAAAGCCGTTGTTCCTTTGAGTAGCAGGAAGCCGCGGAGGAATCCTTGATGTGTGTTGCTCCAACAGCCTCCGTTTACCTCTGAAGCTACAGCTCAGGTGTCCACAAACAACAATCCGAGGACTTTTAAACGCCATTACCTTAAAACATTGACGATTAGCTACCGCATTCTAGCCAGACAGCTTCTCACGACATGAACGCAACCAACAGCAGCCCACAGTCTTGCACTGACTCCAAGGTACCAACCCAGCGTACCTTGCACAACAAAAGTACAATCCGCGTGGCGAGCAATCCAGCCCATCTGTTTCAAATGACACGACGCTTTAAAGCGCTGCGTAGCAAGCTGATCACGTTCGTCGCAAGACGCTGTGGTCAGCCATAATTCTTACGACCATTAATGGGCCTAGTTATTTGGTGTTTTATACTCTTCAGTATGTGAAGGGAATCTTGGCTGAAAAATCTGCGAAAAGCATTGATATGAGCGGGATTGGAAAAACACTGTCACCACTGCTTTGTGATGCCAGCACTGAAATAGCATTGTTGTTTATGTGGTTACGTATGGTTTTGTATTTGTAATAGCTATTATAATAATGGTAATAGTAATAATATAGTATAAATGCTACACAGGCTATTATTTGTAATAGCTGTACTATGTTTCTGTAACCTGCAAAAAACTATCCTGATTAAAGCTACTGTATTCGCCAGCAATTGATGGCTCAGTTTGCTCATACAGCGAAACGCCAACGTTTTGACATGTGTTCTTCGCATGTTCACGCTGCAAGTGCCAAGGAGAATAGACCAATACTAAGCTTTGAGTTTCGCTTAGCTAGGATAGTGAGTTTTAATATGGTCTCGTCTAATACAATTTGTTTGCATTTTCCCAATTTTTTCATTATTTGGTACAAAAAGTCTCAGTTTTTGTCATCGATCATATCCGGTAAATCGGAACCTTTTTTTCCCTGCCTTCTACCGCACACCAACAGTTAAGGTAGCCGTCCTGTATTTGGTTGGCCCATTGTTCCCTCTTTGCTCATATCCATTAAGAGGGCTCAGAGGATGGGAAGAGGGGGAGGGGTGGCTCAATTCAGCTTTAGGGGCCCAGGCCTCACCCCTGAAAGCATAGAAAGTGACACCACTGCAGACATCGTTGCAAGATGCGATGCTTTGGGACTCATCCGATGCATCTGACTTCTGAATATTGTGGTTTTCTGGCAAATTTCTTACATGTTACTGTCATGTACTGTCAAGACGCCGACATTCAGGGGATTATACAAGGAGCAATTGCCAGCCGTTACAACGATGCAGTACATATGTAATTAAAAAATCAGGATACGCGCAACATACGTTTACATGCAAACGAATTCACGTAAACAGGCATACACATCACACGCCAATTGTGTACGCAAACAAATTCAAATAAACAGGCATCGCGCATCACGCGTCAGGCATCACCTATACACGTAAACGATTTTAAGCTAGCACGCATCACACATTAAGGCACAAATTTCACGTTCGCATAGTCTACCATGATGAGCCCTGCACGTTAACACGCGCTCGGATGGGGTTGGGTTTAAATTGACCCCCCCCCCCCCCCCAAGTTTTTGTCCAGAATGGTCTCCGAACGGCGCGGCGTAGCCGCGCCAAGTTCTGCTCACTGTAGACAATTGAATAGCTGATTGTTTGACATAAAAAATGAAGGTGTACCTTGTAAGGTCGTTGACCTATGGCAGGTTAAGGTCAGGCCATGGTTTCAGCGGAGGCAATTTCTATGGAATCGTCCAATCTGATACAATAACGGAGTGTTTGACGAAGCCATGCATTTCTGAGATGTTTTCTTATGCACCACAAATATTGAGTGAGCAAATTACGTTGACTTCAGGCAAGATATGAAGGTCAGACCAAGGTCAAAACCAACCTGATTTATCATTTTGGGGCTTGCTCTATGGGATAGTTTGTGGTGCTCATTTCGAATTTATTGACAGTAGGAGCCGCGCTATACATCTTCGGTTTCCTTCTTAGATGTCAGAATAGTTCATTGACCCAAGATGACCCGGGTCGACATTTTATTTTATGAACATACTGCCTAGCGTAGTCTTTGCCGCTTATTCAAATGCAAAACTCATAGCAGTCTCGTATGATTTTGGTCACCATGACCTTCAAAAGGTCAAACAAGGTCAATGATCTCAAATGGGCTTGTGATCTTTTTCTTAGAAACAGTTGCCTAGGTTATGGGGTCACTTTAGAGACCAACCTGGAATTTGAACTTGTTTGCCTTATTTGACCTTAAGGTCATGATATAGGAAGCTCAAACTTTGAATTCAGTGAGTTCACGTACAGGTCAAGACACGTGTAAATTTGGTGTCTCAAGCTTTCTAGTTGCTGAGATCTCAGGGGGTCAAATTGACGCCCCCCCGCGAGCGAAGGGTATCTTGTCGGCTACCCGGGCGCGTGTTAAGGTTTGGTCGCCGACTTTTGATAAAAAACGGATTCACTTATCTTCCTGTCTGGGTGTTCCTGTACTCCGTAGATGGCTTTGAGTTTTAAAAGGGACGTAAGGTCCATGTCTCCCCTGATTTCAGCCTCAGCGTGTTTTACCAAAAGACGGTCACCGAAAGGGGTATTCCCTGTTTCGTTTTTAGCGTTTCGCAGGTGTCCATCATATCTCACAGGAATAGGGCGCGTGGACTCCTCAGCATAGACTCAATCCCATATTGTCATGGGACTGCCATGGACGGGCCCATGACAATGTAATATATGCCATGGGCCTCCCGCGCCGACGTTTCAGAGGCTTTCGGGCGCCGTCGTTGCGCTCGAAATCGGAATGCGTAGCCTAGGGCTCCCGGCAGTGGATCGATACACTGCGCTGAGCGTACTCGAGGAAGGCGCTTACATTAAAACTCGTGTCCTTTGTTTGCATGCGCATTTGGCTACATTTTTGCCCCTTGCATTACCCTTGCCGCTTAAAAAACATTTTTGTAGAGATAGTATGCCGTCGATGATTGCTCGGGGCTAGGCTCGTGTCAGTCGTCATCCATGTCGTTGTCTAGGCAGCTTTCTGTGCACCAAAGAGATCATAAGACGCCGGACCGTTATGGCAACTAGTTGCAATCAATACCTGGATTGTCCTCTAGATTGCACAATTTCCGTGGTTATGCGCAGGTTTGCGAAAATACAGCGCGCATTTGATTGAATAACTCCACAGTAAAAACATGTATTTGTCACAAAACGTCGATCATTGAACATTCTCTGTGGCAAGAGTAGACACCGTCCGCACACCAGCCGAGTCCGGCTAAACTAGATCCCACACCGGTGCGATCGGCGTCCGTACGCATCTCGTACTCGTCGCAGCTCTCAGCTTCAGTACACTGTCTGACTCACGCCCTTACAGCTGTCGCGACGCGTCGGAGCGGCAAACCTGGCTTTCGCCACGGCATAGCGCCCCCAGAAAACATGTAGACAAAAATACACTGCGTGGGTATGTTCGCTGACGCTGACATGACCGTGACCACAACTCACTGGGCCTGACAGCAAAGCCTACCAGCTCAATAGGCCTGACCTAGGACGACTGACGGGGTTCCCAGTAGTCGCCGGACCCGTCGGCTGGCGGCGGTTCCGTGGTGGAGCTGCGTGACGGTGGACGGCTCGGCTGTGGCGCGGCAGCCCCCCCCCCCCCCCTGCCTTGGCCCTGGGCCAGCCGGGCGCGGCGTTCTCCCGTGCGCGCGCCGTGGTCAGTTACCGCGATGCGGTGCTGTTTAATCGCGCGGTTAGCGACGATGACAAACTGAGGGTGCCCGGCCGGGCCGGAGCGTGCCGCCTACGTCACGCCGTTCATCCCCTAGGCGGCGCTAGTGTGGCGACCGAAGCACACTGACGTCAGCGCCAGCGCCAGCGCCAGGCTAGCGGCGGCCGGCGCCGTCTTGCCCGCCGCGTTGCAGAGATCATTCTTGCACGTGCAGAGCACCTGTCCCTTCTTGGAGGTCTTGGTGCAGCGGCTGATGGCGGTGGAGAAGCAGCTACGCATCTCGTTCCCGCTATCGTCTGAGGGACAGCGCTAGTGTCAGTATCGGTCACTGTCAGTGTCAGGCGGCAACACTGGCTGACAAAGCGACATGGTCCTCTGATGAACTGAAGCTGCCCCTTACTCCTCAGATCGTGTAGAGTGGGGTCGGAACGATACCTGTTGTATGCCGCAACGCTGAAAATCAAGAAGTGGTGGGGAATAAACTGATAAATCCTGCCGACTTGGTGTATAAGATCGGCAACAAAAAAGCATATATTCATGCGAAACTAGGAGCCAAAAATGTTTTAGGACAGCCAACTTTGGTAACCGTCAAGACGAAAAAATACAGCGCACTATGCAAAACATAACATGAGGTCTCCATGCATATATATTATGCCTCCATGGTAATAAGCTCGTCACATAACACAAGCAAAAGTTTCTGTAATTTATCCCACTCTACCGGACCCTGGTACCTTTTCTACGTTCCATTGCAACCCGGCGGCAAAAATATTTTACGATTGTTACAACTATTATATCGTTGGTCGGCCGGCTCGGTGACAGGTCGGCGACAAATCAGTACATTTCCTATGGCCCGGCCGGTCGGCCGATTCGCTGTTTTTAACAGGCGCTCGGGTAGGGGGTTCGAAGTGACTCCCCAAAGGTTGTTCCAGAATGGTTTCCAAACGGCGCGGGGTAGTCGTGTCACACTTCGCACAGCAGTAGCCAATTGAATAGCGGATCGTGTGCTGTCAACAAATTAGATGCACCTTATAAGGCCACTGACATATGTCAGGTTAAAGTCAGGCTATGGTTTTAGCGAAGTCAATTTCTAGGGAATCGTTCAATCTGATGAAACAACGGAGGGTTAGACGAAGCCATACATCTCTGAGATGCTTTCTTGGGCAACACAATAATTTTATGAGCAAATTACATCCACCTAAGGTCAGGTATAAAGGCCGGACCAAGGTCGAAACCAACCTGTTTCAATACCCAAGAGCTTGCTGTATCGGATGGTTTCTGGTGCTCATTCTAAATCTACTGATAGCAGGAACCGTATTCTACCTCTTCCATGGACGAGGTTAGAATAGGTCATTGACCTAAAATGATCCAGGTCAACATTTCGTTTTTAGGAACATATCACCTAGCGTCATCTTTGTCGCGTATTCAAATGCAAAACTCAGAGCAGACTTGCATGATTCTGGTCACCATGACCATCAAAAAGTCAAAGAAAGTCGCTGGCCTTAAATGAGCGTGTGACCTATGACTTAGAAACAGTTATTCAGGTTCAGGGGCCCTTTGGTGACCAGCCTGGAATTTGACATTGTTTTACCTTAATTCAGAAAGTCACGACCTAGGAACCTCACACTTTGATCTAAGTGAGCTCACGTACAGGTCAACACACCCTGTGAAGTTGTTGCCTCTAGCTTTCTTAGCTCCCGAGACCTCAGGGGGAATTGACCCCGCACCAAAGCGAAGGGTATCCAGCCGGCCACCCGGGTGCGTGTTGACGGCCGACTCTGAGTGTCCCAAACCATACAGTGTAAAATACCGAAAAAGATATAGATATAGGAATTTATCTGGCCACAGTGACGTGTTTCAGTCGTCGCGATGCAACTAATATGAGGTGGGCGGTGACTTTCAATGCACTGCAAGTTCTCAAATGGCATTCGCATTGCAGTGTCACAAATACCTGCCTAGGGTTTAATTTCTGGCCTTGTTTGCTTCGTCGACTGTGCCGTGATTCAGAATCCTGTCCTCAGCGACGAGAGGCATTGACAGTTCAAGGTAAGTCGGCGGCATGATCCGATCAAGGTAGAAATTGGCCTGTAATTATCCAAACCACTTTCCAAGTCACCCGAAGGGCTTTTGACTCGCTGAAGCGGTCACAAACGATCAGCCTTCTTCCCTTTCAAAGAACCATGGAAAGAACAAAAGCTCCGCTCTCGGTTTAATGGTGGCATGCCACCTTTCTGTATTTTTCACCGATTGCTATATCAGACGCATGTGATTTGATAAGTACTGCCAGTTTTCTTGAAATTCCTCTCAATAGTTCAGAATTTCGATTTGAAGTAGCCGCTCTTGCGGTGGTAACCACATCTGACTCACTGCTTCACCACTATGAACTGAATACTTTTCATTTGCCTTGCTTTTCTCACGCGTGTGTCCTGTAATGTTTGCAACACACTAATACATCAAAACGTTTGTGGAATAAATGCTACGAAATCTTGAAACACTGTGTAGACGACAACAGATGCGAACATGAAGCTATTATCTCGTGAATTCGAAGAAGCGTTACACTATGACTTTGATCTCTACCCTATGGCGTTTACCACAGTGACTTTTTTGAGGCGCACGTTGGCTTTGGGAATGGGAGTATGACATGGTCCGCAGTGACGCACTAGTTCACACTCCAAGCGATTGATCTCTCGGTAACAGGTCCTTGCCGCTTACTGCGCCAACCGCAAACATTCCTTTATTCGCACCTGTAGGGGTGCCGGAGCGGTTGTCATGACAACGGTGGTTAGGCAACTGAAGGGAAGAAGTCTAGTGCCGTTACGAAGCACTAACAGCGCAATTTGGGCGCGTAGCTAATAATAGTTTTATCATTATTTTGTTATTTTGTGCGGCAGTGGCGTTACCCAGTAGAGTTCTTGGACAAAACTGGTCCTAAGGTTTCAATAGAGTATGCGTTTGAGAAAAAAAAACTCCAGGTGAGACATCCCCTTTAAATATTTGCTCGGTTCGCAAACTTTGAAATATGCCATACTCAGTTCCCTTTCCTTTGCTCACAACTCGTAATGCTCCATGCGCCTGCGGCTCGTAACACTGGCACGAGCAGGATACTCGCGTGCCAGTATGACGGTCGGGATGGTGTGAAGCGGTCAGTAACGAGCGCGACGGCGGAGGCGCGCGTGCCCCGCCTGCCGGGCACGCTCGGCTGCTGCCGTGCGGCGGCGCGCTCATTACCAGCAGCCATTACCGGCCGCCACCGACCCACCGCGGATCTTGATGCAGGAACGGTCAAGGCCTGCCGGGCAGGTCATCTCGAACCGCAGCGCCGGCTCGGCCAGACTCAGCGCGCTGCAGCGCGGGAAGCCGCTCGTCTTGTTGGCGATGGCTGCCGGGATCTGCACGCCGGCGATCTGCTGGTTCGGCACGCAAGCGTAGCAGTGCAGCGCCTCGGCCTCTGCGGCACACGGGAGGGGGGGGGGGGCAGGGTCAGCGGGGGGGGGGGGGGCAGGGGCAGCGGGGGCAGGTGGCTGCGGCCGGCGCCCGCGAGCCACCTGCTTTGTGCGTTATTATAGACGCCTCAATATCTATAAATTAGATGTCCACATTCGCCTATATGTTTACAGCTTTATTATTGATGGTCTATGGTCTACGGTGTATCGTGTGGTAGGCCTGTGTATGATGGTTATATATATATATATATATATATATATATATATATATATATATATATATATATATATATCTCTCTCTCTCTCTCTCTCTCTCTCTCTCTCTCTCTCCTCTCTCTCTCTCCTCTCTCTCTCTCTCTCTCTCTCTCTCTCTCTCTCTCTCCTCTCTCTCTCTCTCTCCTCTCTCTCCCTCTCTCGCTCTCTCTCCCTTCCACGATTTTCCACCACCAAAGCTGGTGGGCTCTGCATCACCCACACTTCAACTGAGCAGCAATTACAAATCACGATCACCGGGTTAGCGGGCTGATGGAGCCCGTTCAGTCCCATTCAGCCTGCTCAGCCAGGCTCCACCCAGCCGGAGCGACGACACGCCTCGGACCAACGGATGGCCGAGGTCACGACAGCTGCCTGCGGCGAACCGGCGACGCGGGGCCGGAACGTGCTCTCGTCGCTCGCTAGCCTGGGCATGCCGTGTGGAGCCGGCAGGATACGGGCACTGTGACTGCACCGTCCGTCACCACCACAGCCAGGCGCAGCACAGCCGCTTCTCGTCCGGCTTCGTCTCACCGTAACTGCACCGTCCGTCACCACCACAGCCAGGCGCAGCGCAGCCGCTTCTCGTCCGGCTTCGTCTCACCGTAACTGCACCGTCCGTCACCACCACAGCCAGGCGCAGCGCAGCCGCTTCTCGTCCGGCTTCGTCTCACCGTAACTGCACCGTCCGTCACCACCACAGCCAGGCGCAGCGCAGCCGCTTCTCGTCCGGCTTCGTCTCACCGTAACTGCACCGTCCGTCACCACCGCGGGCAGGCGCAGCACAGCCGCTTCTCGTCTGGCCTCGTCTCACCGCTGTAGTCCTGATTACGGTCGCACGCGTCAGCATGAAGGCACGGCGAAAGGCCGGACTTGTGACTACTGATGGGCTGGCTCGTGGGCCTGGGACCGCTATGGATCACCGCTCACCGGCGACTGGGTCAGCGGCGGTCAGAGACGGCTGGCATCGATTCAGGACGCGGCTGTAGTGGTGCAGCGGTGCAGACCGGAGGTGTGTGCCCACTGTCATCAGGTATGCGGAACGGTGACCGGTCGTCCATAGCTTCGTGGCCCGTGCTACCCCCCCCCCCCCCCCCCAACCCCCAGTGCCCAGCGGCGTTCGGTCCCGTGTGAACCCGCGCCGCCCGGTGACGCGATCCGGAGCGGCTGGATCCGTGTCCCCGTCCGGAGCAGCTGGATTCGTGCTCCCGTCCGGAGCGGCTGGATCCGTGTTCCCGTCCGGAGCAGCCGAATCCGTGTTCCCGTCCGGAGCGGCTGGATCCGTGTTCCCGTCCGGAGCGGCTGGATCCGTGTTCCCGTCCGGAGCAGCTGGATCCGTGTTCCCGTCCGGAGCGGCTGGATCCGTGTTCCCGTCTGGAGCAGCCGGATCCACGTTCCCGTCCGGGGCAGCTGGACCCGTGTTCCAGTCCGGAGCGGCCATCCACAATGAAGCTGTGCTGTGCATGACAGACCGGGAATCAGGCTGCTCGCGGCTGGGGCTGGCACAGCCCCGCCCGCAGCCGGGGCCGACGCTGGCCGCCCAACCGTGACGCCCCTCCCCGCCGCCACCCACCCGCTCACTCACGTGGGAACGCGTCCGCTCGGCCCCAGGCTGTTTCGAAACGAGAGCCGGGCGGACCGTGTCCGTCGCGACTGTACGCGTCCGGGCTGGTGATCGGGCACATACGGCCGATTGTTCGTGTCCGTCACTTTTTGGAGTAATTCCCGGCGTGGTTTCAGTAAGGAACCCAAAATGAAGTACGACAAGAAGAGCTTATTTACTTTACTTTTTAGTTACATTAAACACTGATATAACCGAAACACAGCCCAGAAATTTGCGCCACGCTGTCAAACTCAAATCAAGGAATGAAGGGATTGAAGAGCGGCAAACGGGCAGCGAGTGCGGTTAGAGCATTTTGATAAGCGGTGACCCACCGAGGACGGCTGCTCCAGTTCACCTACCTGTTGCCGCCCAGAGCACGAGGGCCAGAACCGATGCGATGCCCGCCATTCTCAGAGGTTCGCACCGCCACCGGCCGCTCCGGTGTCCCGCGCGGCGCTCCCCGAGGCGCCCGTCTTTCACACTCGAACACCGCCGGCCGATCCCCCCTCCCGTGTCGCGCTCCGCAAGACCCCGCCCCCTGTCCCCGACTGCCGTCGACGGCGCGCGTACCGGCAACGACGCGGCGTAGACGGATGCTCTCGGCCGCGGCGGGCACGCGTCAATAACGAAACGCGTGGCCGCGCGCACCTGCGCGAGGACTAATGCGGTGCAGCGACGGCGCGAAACCCTCGCTCAAGTGTTCGCTCCTTGGTTATCCCGCGACGGAGGCCCACAAATCTAGCCTGTTTGAACTGTGAACTCAATGCAAATGACAATGCTCGAAAGTCTGTAAACTTCCGCTTTATCTGTTTCGTTTTATCTGTTTGAATTGTTTTTGCCCGTTCGCGCCATTTCACCCCTGGAAGATATAATTTCAGATTGATGTCATAATGTGTGTGAATAAAAGTACGTTTATTGACTTTTGCATGGTTTGAAGCAAACCGTTAAGTCTGAAAAAGTTGAAGACGATGTTAAGCAACTGAGGATGGCCATGGCGAGGAACGTTTCTTAAAAAAACTCGATTTTGTACTTATGACAATACATCTGCATATATTTGCATTGCTGTTTATATTTGGCGCGCTAAATAATCACATGTTTAACCGAAAATGAATGATCGCACGGCTGACCGTGAGGACGGGATGATTTAAGTATATGTAACTATGCGTGAGTGTAGTGTGTCCAATTCGTAGACGGGCCAACACCTTCTCCCCTAAACGGTCTTCACGGTGTGCTGATGGCCAAGGGGAAATGTATTGTTTGATATCGTGAGGCTGTGTTCTGTTAGTACCGGTCCATTGTCGTAGCAAAAATTGTTTTGTCAGTGTGCGAATCGAAAATTTTGTAGATGCATGATCAACGGGGGTCTCCATGATGTGACGGGCTGTCAAAGCTTCTTTATATAGTTGGTCAGCCAGCTGATTGCCCGTGATGCTTCTTTGTCCTGAAATTCATAAAAATTCAATTTTCATGCCCTGTATGCGTAATATATCATAGAGATTGACGATGTTAACGAGGAGGTGGTGAGTGAAGTCTGAGTTGATAAGAGATTGTAAAGCTGCCTTCGAATCCGAACAGATCAGTATTGTCCTCGCTGTATGGCTGAGTTGTGGAATGTGCCGTAATACAAGAAGAGCAAATAATTCAGCCAAAGATACTGATGTGCCACCCAGAAACCAACAATTTTTATCGCAATGTTCAGTGCAAATTACTGTACATCCGGTGTGGTTATTGGCCTTGGAGTCATTGGTACAAACAGAACTGCCAGTTCGATTGTTGGCAGTTAGGTGATTAAATGTCTGTTAAACATAGCTTGTTGTGAAAAAGTGTTTGGGATCATCAAAAAGAAACAAAACTTTCCGAGGGGTAAACTACCATGTTGGTACTACTAAGGCAGGTGGCACGGAAGAAGGCGGTAGAGAAAACTGGAGAGAGGTACGGTGTACAGTGGTTCGAGATGCTATTGTAAGTCCTGACCGGCGGTCTGCCGGCCTTATGCAGCTGTAGTGAGTGTGAGGTAAGACATGTATAGATTGAAATGCCGGGTGATTTGGATTTTGTTGCACTTTTGTCGCACTTTTTGGATCTCAATTTGTGTTCCATTTATCGAAGGGAAAGATGCATAACGCGAGCGTCCACTTCAAGAGCTGAAATCGGGGAAGCACACAAAACTCCTTGGGCAATGCACAAGAACATGTTTCGTATGGTGGATAGTGGTTAAAGAGTGTGTTGGCTGCCTCCTGCATATATACCGCGCAGCCATGTTTAGTGATGGGAAGAACTAATAGCTTTTATAGACGTAATAACGTTTGGCGGTCGGCACCTTATCTTGATCCGGAAATGCATGTAAAGAGATTTAGTCTCTTTAGACATTGGGAGTGAACATGCTCCGCGTACTGTTGCACCGATAATTTTGGGTCAAGTACGATATCAATAAATTTAACAGACGAAGTGAAAGGAATGCAATGCCTATCTGATCGGAGCCGAAAATTAGGAATACGACGCATATTTTTCCTGAAAACCATAGCTGTAGACTTTGAAGTGGAGAAACGGAACCCAAACGCTCTGATCACTGCTGCACCTAGTTAAGGGTGGCTTGGAGCCGTGGCAGCGAATGATCATACTCAGCGCCCAAACACCAGATCGCGCTAACGTCCGCAAAAAGTGAAGGAAAAACGCCGGTGGTAGTGAGTCAAATAAATCGCTTGTCATGGATTTAAATATAATGGGTGAGATGCAGCTGCCCTGTGGGAGGTCGCTCCCTAGGTAGTGAGTATCAGAAATGACGGATCTACATCTCACACGAAATGGCCTCATGTTGGAAAGAAATCCAGTGAGGTAATGTGCTAAATGGCCCTTAAGCCCTAACTGATGAAGCTTGAAAATCAGTGCAGGCTTAAAGACCATATCGTGGGCTCGATTAATATCCAGGAATATAGCAGTCGTGTGATGCTGATGTTTAAGTAACGTCTTATGTCAGTTTGAAGTCGGAAAATGTGGTCTATTGTGCTGCAGTTGTTTCGAAAACCACATTGTTTTTTTGTACGCAAGCAGACTCGTTTTTTAGCGGCCAGCGGCACTTCCGCCGACTACACCCAAGGGAGATTCTGTGTCAGAGGCCGAGGTCGAGTCTGTACCGGTGTCATCCTTCCTGCACTTGCTGCGCTTCCCCATAATGGGGGAGCGGGAAGAGAACAAAAAAAAAAAAAAAAAAAATAGGCGATAGGTTTGTGTTTGGGCGAGTACGAACGGAAAAACGACGAAAACAATGATGAGAATAGAGGACTCTTTGGCAGATAGCCGCAACAAGAGCAACCGCTTCCATCAGAAATTGTCCTGCCAGTCGGGCGTGGCCAGCGAGTAGCGTGTCTGTAAATTACTGGAAAGCGATCGGAACACCTGAGCCCTGAAAAGCAGGCAGGAGTTCCCGGGTACTTGTGTGCTCAATCGATCCGATCCCACCTTATAATCTGCCTGTAATGGAAACTGCCTGGGTAGACATTTAATGCCTCTCAAACAAAAGGAAGCAACTAATTTGGTCTGGCTTCTTCTTCTCGTTGGAGCAGCGTAATTGAAGTTGCTCGCAAATCTATCGGTGAAAATGGCGCCCGCGTCACTAGTTGGCGCGGCCTATGCCAGTCAGCAGATGCCGCTACCGGTCTAGTCCCGTCTGACGTCCCTAGATTTAATTTGGTGCCCCATGATCCGTGCGTGCATGCCAATGTCTTATGTTCACACAGGGTCTCATCTGCAGTGTAGCAATACACCGCTCCGAACTTGTCCCCCGCTCCTCCACCCTTTACCTCATGCCTCTCCCCAGGTTCGACGCTGGCCGTGCCTGCGTGGCGCTGTGGTGGCCAGTCTAGCCCTCTGACTCCCTCTGTTGCACTGTCCTGTCCGCGGCCGGCTGCACGTCTCGTGTACGAGAGGAACACCAGCGGCGTGCGCGGGCGTGGAACGAACCGCGACTCGCTGTGTCCACCCGCTTCATAGTGGCCGACCCGGATGGAAGCAGCGGCCTAGAGCGCGGCCTGCCCGGCCTGTTCTGTCCGCTGTGCGACGCCTGCGCCGCCGTCCAGGTAGCCCTGCTCTTGACCAAGCTGGAGCCGCTGCTGCACGCGCCCGACAACCGCGACGGCTGGCGTCCGGTGCGCACGCCGTCAGACCGCACCACGCTCTACCTGCTACCTACGGCGTTCAAGCGGTGTGGTCAGCTGATCGAAGGCGGCCCCGATGCGCTTGTCACGGACGTGGTGGACGTAGTGGTGGTGTCGACGCGGGACCGACATTCTGTCCATCCGTGTGGGTGCAATCGGTGCTGGATGCGTCTGAACATATCGTCATTCAGCGATCTAAAGATATGTCTTCAAACGCTTGTCAAGCCGTGTGTTTATTTCTCGGCGGAGGCGCCCGACGGTGCGGCCTTGTGTGCCGTCCCAAGTTAGCCGTGTCTTCGCCGTTGTCGTGTGTTGCTGGCAAATCTCTCTCTCCTCTGTATTCCAGGAGAAAAGATCACGAGCTTTCGGTTCACTCTTGTGTGTGAGGTGTTTCTGACCGGTGCCCCCCGTCACTCGCGGCGGCGCCCCGGCCGCATGGCGCCCCTCTGGCTGTGTTTCCGCCGTCGTTATTGTTGGCGTAACTGTGACTGCCGCTGAAAAGCATCTTGTGCCAATGACCGCCTCCCTGTCTGACCTGGAGGGCAGCGGTCCTCGCCGCCCGCCGCGGCTGTGTTGATGCCGGCAGAGAAGGTCGCGCCCTTTGTCTGCTCTGTCGCGCCGCTATGTTTCAGTTGTTCGTTTCATGGAAGGAGCTCACGACACCACCTTTACCTCGGTGCATGTAAAATTATGTTATCAACGTTTTATCCATGCCGACGTGATGGTACATGGACGGTGTACATATCGAGTCATGTCCAGCGTGTAGTGAAAGAGGAAGCTGCGTTCCCTCTTACGCCAATAATATCTTCTCAGTATCAGTGCAATACACAACTGCATCTTTATTAGCCTGCTTCCCTGATATGACCACTGGCCGACAGACGAGCGAGCCGTGTCTGCTGTTGTAGGATACCTGGTTTCCGGCCTGGCTTACGCTTCTAACCTGTCCGGGTCGCCCATGCCCCGAGACGTGCCTGGGCGCTGGCTGTGGAGCGATGCTCGTGCATGCGCTGTTTGCGCACGGACCACGTGCCAGGGGAGGCGTTACAGCCCGGGATAGACAACTAGCTCCCTGCTTCTGGGCACTAGCCATATTTGATTGTTCGTGTTGTGGACAACGGTCGCTCGATACGAACGGTCAATCTTATGTCATCGGGTGTACGCATTTACCACGCAAGTTTATGTAAAGATTATGCATGCATAAATGCCTGAGTTATTTACAGAAGCTGTCACAGAAAAGCTGTACTCATAACTGGTCGACATTTCGCGGGAAATGAGATCTTTGTTAAAGCTAGTGAATGCGATCACTGGCATGCGCCACTGGCATCTATGCTTGAGCTTACGATTCATTGAGCCAGGCACTTTTCAATGTCCATCGCC